CATTGCATCTCCAACAAAGTCACTGGTATCAAAATCATGGATTAATGTTGTGTTTAATATAGCTAACTTTGTAATCATCTGGCCTTCTGGCACCAAGTCACAACCAATTTTCTTTCGGCAATTCAGGTAGGGAATTGAGAGTTTCTGTTAGTCTTGTAGCTTGAAACAAATTCTTGTCCCAGTGGAAAATGTTATAGTTCTCCATTTCTTGTCCGTCATGGAACCTGTATATCATAAAAGAGTCACCTGGGTTTGGAGATGATAGTTTTTGGTGGTTATACAAAAAAAAACCAGAATAGTCGGTTTGTTCAAAAAAGAATTAACCTCATGGGTTTTTCTGAGTTGTTTTCAGTCTACTAATATTAATATGGAAAGAAGTTTGAGAATTGCCAATATTCTGAACTAATTCTACTTGTGCCTTGTTATTATTAATTTAAAGTTTGAAATTGAGAATGGATTCGGGTGGGTAAAGTTCTAAAAGAGGGGGAATTGATCATTATATAAATTATAAAAAAAAAAAAAAGATGATTATTTCATTTTTATTTTTTTTGGCTGGCTGTACTGTCTTTTTGTTAATTTACATATTTTAAATTTTTATAAAATAAATGTATGAGACGGTGTGTATCAAAACTTGTAAAACATCATATTTTGTAGTTAGCTTTTTAAAAGATAAATACTTTTTATAATATAATAAGTTTTTTAAATGGGCAAATTTAATTTGCCTTGAATATATCTCAACTTTGTTTGGAAAATCTCTAGTTTCTTAAATTTTAAGTGTATTTGTTCCCTTTTTTCTTCTTTTTTTTTTTTTTTTTTTAACTAAAACATAATACAATGAGAATTTGAATATGATATAATATATTATATTATATGAAAGAGAGAGAGAGAGAGAGATAATCATTGAGTTAAATGATCCATATATTAAATTACAATAAATTTATCAGATTATGATGAGTTTATATGAGAGATATAGTAATAAATTTGCTAGAATTTTAAGATATTTTATACAATTAAAAAATTGAAAGAAACCAAAACATGTGAAATAAATAAACAAACAATGTTAATGACAAAGGTATAATGAGTATTAAACTTGAGGAACTGATATGATAATAATTTATTATTTTATTTTTAATCAACTAATTGCATTTTATCTAATAGCCTATAAATTTATTAACTTTTACTAATTTTCTAAAAGATATATATTAACTGAGAGGGAAAATTACACGATTAAGAACGGGCCTGCTGTATGTTTGGATGTAGCCCGTATGGCAACTAACTTGTTACATATATATATATATATATCTTATTCCATAGAAATTTTTTGAAGGAAAATTATATATGTGTGTGTGTGTATATATATATAAGTTGTTACCAAACTAAACCCTGACGTAGTTTTTTTAGCTTCTTCGCTTTCTTCAATTCTTTTCAGCTCATCTTCACCATTCTCAGCAACTCACTTTTTCCACCATCTATTCAGTCTCCCAAAAACACTCTTTGCTCCCCAGACCCATTTGCAATCTTCTCACATTACGAGCACCACAACTTGAAAGAAAATGAGAGGAATATTATAGAGAGTTATAATATTTTTATTTTAAAATTCTTAAGTAAATTTATTAGTTCTCTTATTATGATAGATGTGGATGGTAATAGAGAAAGTAGAAATCCAAAATAATTTGATAAAATTTATCTTTTAAAATACAAAATATTTTGTGTGACTTTCAATGCATATATAACTCTCTATAGTTTAGAGATTTGAATTTTATATTAACTCTGAAAAGGGTATTTTAATTTCTAATATATATAAATATATCATGTGTAATAGGATTTATATTTATGAAAATTAAGTAACATAATATTACTTCAAGTTCATTATTGATCGAAGATTATTTAATTTATTTAGTAATTTTTAGTAATAACTTAATAGATTTATTCACTAAAATAAATGAAAGAATTAAATTAAATATAATTTTTAAAATAAAATACATTATAATTAATAAATTAATATTATTACAATATAAATTACCAAATACATTAATTTAATTATAACACGAATTATTAAATTAAACTTAACAATCATTTTGCTCACGGTCAAATATCTACATTGTTGAGAGTTATGGCTAAAAGAAACAAAATATAAAAAGATATAATTATACAAAGATTAATTAATCATACACTATCAATTTAATCAATACTTTTAAATTTTTATTTTTTAATTTTTAATAAAAATTTAAAATAAATGAATCATATTTACTACTCCACCGAATAATAATTATTCATAAAAATCGTCTCTAGCTTCAGTATAATGTTGGTGGAGAAACTCGTTGTTTTAAATGCCCCTCCGTACCGGTCTGCTCTGACTCGAGAGTGTTTTAAGAACAGGAGAAAAACAAGTTAGATAGCACGAGTTCAGCCATATATATATATATACACACACACACACACACAGACTATATACTCAAATACGTACGAAGCAAAAAGAGATTCGATGATGGTGAATGGCCAGAAGACAGAGCCACTGTCATTGGAGGTGGCGGAGACGAAGGTGGCTGCTGCTGCTGCTGCTGAGGAGGAGGAGAAGGTTGGACGTAGAACCCATATGGCTGTGGCCCCGAGGCTCGATCCGAGACTGAGTAGCCGGAGAGCTGATCTGGTGCGGGTGGCGCTGAGGCTAATGTGCATGGCGGCATCTGTGACGGCCATGTCATTCATGCTCACCGCCCGTCAGGTTAGCGCGGCCTCATTCTACGGATTCCAGCTCCATCTCTACTCCAAGTGGTCTTTCTCTTACGCATTCGCGTAAGTGCAGTAAGCAAATTAAGTTTGTTTCCTTCAATTAAAAAATGGGTTGTCCTTTTAATTGTGAATTACACTCTGTGTTCTTGTTTTTGACCGTCTGTTAGTCCTAGTTGTTTGCTGGTTTCTTGTCGGTTTCATGTTTGGTTACTGAGAAAGTGATAGAAACCATAGGAGAAGTGCAGGTTTTCTAGCTGAGCTGACTCACCTACCGGTGTTCAGAGGAGATTCTTGCCTTCTTATCTTTTCTCAAACTGGGAGGAAACAAAAAATTGAAGAGGGAACTTGTTTTACTTCCTTCTATGTTTGACAAGACTGCCTTTAATTTGTTGTTTTCTTTGAATAGCAACAAAAGTCGTGCACTCTTGGCATTTCAATGAACAGAAACAGACCCGTGAACATCTGTTTCTTATTTTAAATTTATTATGTTTAATTTATTATTTAATTTTCTAAAAGAATTGGGAATATACAATTGCTCTTGTTTTCATCTTGTGAGGGTATGAAGCCTCTAGGATTAGTGGATTAAAATTTGCTGGGTTATTTTTTTGCCTCGTTTTCCTCTTCTTCAAATACTTATCCCAAGTTAATAGAGAATTCAAACAAGTTAAACATAGACAGGATATGATATGAATATTAGATCATATTTCATATCCGTCTCCACAAGATAGTATGCCCATCATGAACATCCGTGTTCAATTTCATGTCTAGAAATCTTTCCTTTATCTAGTTTTTGGTGGCTAAATCTGCCAATTGATTCTTGGAGCTGATTTTTAAGATCTCGTGATGATAGTTTTGGATTTTGTCTTGAATGAAATGGCATTTGATGCCCAAATGTTTCATTCAAATTCGCAAAATAGTATTAACACAGAGATAGTTTGCTCTAATATTCTAACAATATAAAACCACTACTAAGGAATTTTCGTGAATAGTTCTGTGAGAAGAGATTGGAGCCATGTGAATTCAGTAGTTGTATGTGTAGAGAATGACTTGAATGAATCTATAAGAAGTGAAAACTAAATAAAAATTCAGCCAAAATAAATATGATGAAATCTGCCGTAAGATACTTAAAAACAATCAGACAAAGATACCAAAATTTTTAACGTGAAAAACTCCTTCAATAAGAAAGATAAAAACCATGAGAATTTTCTGATCCAAGAAAAAAAAGCTCTACTATAAAAATTAGTGTTTACAGCAACAATAAGCAACCATTATAATCCTCAAATAAATACTCAATAACAAATCAATCAAACAATAAGAGATAAACAAAGGAATGGAGAAATATCACCAAAGCAGCTATTATTCATGCAAAACGGGTGCATTCTGATTATTCAAATCCGATCTTCACCGTTCAAATCAAAGAACAACTTATCCCGAACATGCTCACCAAATTTCAGCCTCATCAAACCACAAATAACTGTTCGATCGTTGGAGAAATCAAACTAGTCGGTGTAAAGAAGAAAAACGTGAACAGTAACTTCGAATTGAAAGACCCGAAATCCAACCATCCAAAATCAATCTCTACTGTCCAGAATGAAGAACAATGAGTTTTCTAAATACCTACCAAATTTCACCCTGATCCGAATGAAGATCACTGTCTGATCGTGTAAAGAAGTAAAACACGTTGGATGTAATTTTTTCAACAAAAAATTTCCTTTTTTGTTCTCTATCTTTTGGTGAGTAAAAACTTGTTTTTATACTGTTTTTTAGGATTAAAGTGGTATACTAAAAAAAAATCCTAATAATCCTAATGAGCCAAAAATAAGTGGGTTAAAAAAGGATTTGAGTTTTTCCACTTAGAAAGGGAACTCAAAACCCAACAATTCTCCCTCTTCTAACTACGTGGAGGAATTCGCCAAATTGGCAACCATTCAACATACTTCAAATTTCATTCTTGGTAAAGCCTCTGTGCACATATCAGACTATTATCATTAGTGTGTATCAAGTTCAAGCTCAAGTTCAGCTACTTAGATCTAAAACATCACGAATCCAATGATATCTCATATCAATATGTTTGAATCTATCATGAAGAGTAGGATTCTTATCAAGATGAATAGCACTCTGACTGTCACAAAATAAAACATATCTTTTTGGTGTAAAGCCCAGCTCATTCACAAACTTCTTTATCTAGAGCAATTCTTTACATGCTTCAGTCGCTGCAATGAATTCAGCTTCTGTAGTTGACCATGTAATGCATTTTTGCAACATAGATTGCCATGCTACAACTCCCCCTGCAAAAATAATCAGATATCCAGAAGTAAAATTTTTTGCATCTGTATCCCCTTACCAAATCAGAGTCTGTAAAATCACTGAGAATAGGTTTCTCAATCCCAAAAGACAACTTCAAACTAGCAGTACTACGAAAATATCTCAAAATTCACTTTATGACATTCCAATGCTCTTTTCCTGGATTAGATAGAAATCTACTAACAATACCAACTGCATAAGTTATATATGGTCTAGTACAAACCATAGCATATATCAAGCTAACTACTGCAGATGCATAAGAAATTTTCTGCATGTCTTCTTTCTCTTACTCACTAAAAGGAGACTGTTTGACACTCAATTTGAAAGACATAATAAGAGGTGTACTTACAAACTTAGATCTGGTCATATAAAATCGATGCAGTACCTTTTCAATGTACTTTTCTTGAGATAGCTACAACTTCTTATATTTTTTATTGCGAGTGATTCTCATGCCAAGAAATGTACTTTGCTGGCCCTAAATCTTTTATTGCAAAAGATTTACATAACTCTTTCTTCAAGCTATCAATTCTAGAAGAATTAGAACCTACAATGAGCATATCATCAACATATAGTAACATAATGATAATATTACTATAAAAAAATCTCTACATAAAAACATAATGATCAAAATTAGTCTTCTTGTAGCTTTGTTGAACCATAACTGACTCAAACTTCTTATAGCATTGCCTAGGTGCTTGTTTCAACCCATATAAATTCTTTCTCAATTTGCAGACATAATTTTCTTTTCTTTTCACCATCAAAACTTCAGGTTGTTTCATGTAGATTTTCTCTTCTAAGTCACCATGAAGGAAGGCTGTTTTAACATTCATTTGCTAAATCTCTAAATCAAGACTAGCAGCTAACCCCAAAATAACACGAAATTGATGATATCTTAACCAATGGTTAGAAAATCTCCTCAAAATCAACTCCCCTTCTCTGATCGAAACCTTTAAAAACTAATCTGACTTTGAATCGTGGAGATTTAGAATTCTCTTCTTGCTTCACTCTAAAGACCCACCTATTTTTTTATGATTTTTCTATTTTTAGGAAGCTTCACCAATTCAAATGTGTGATTATCAGTTAAAGACTGTATTTTATCTTTCATAATTGCAGTCCATTCTATATTTTGCTCACTCTCAATTGCCTCTTCATAACATTTAAGTTCTTCTTCATTTATCAAGAGTATGTACTCATTAGGTGAATATCTAGTAGAATACGTTCAATGTGCTTCTTGTTGAACATCAACTGCTTCATATTCAGGAGCACCAATCTCATCTGTATTATGATTATCATTTTGCACATCATGATTCTAAACCTCAACTGCATCAGGCATTTGAGTAGAATACGTTCAATGTGCTTCTTGTTGAACATCAACTGCTTCATATTCAGGAGCACCAATCTCATCTGTATTATGATTATCATTTTGCACATCATGATTCTAAACCTCAACTGCATCAGGCATATGAGTTGTAGGAGATGGGTTTAAGTCAATCAAACTACCAATTTGAGACTTAGATTTCTCTACCTTGTTAATATCTTCAATAGTCTGATCTTCTACAAAGATTACATCATGACTTCTGATAACTTTCTTTTGAACTGAGTCATAGCATCTGTAACTAAACTCATTTTGCCCATAGCCAATGAAGATACACTGCCTAGTCTTGGTATCTAACTTGTACCTTTCATCTTTGAGAACATGCACAAAAGATTTGCAACCAAACACTCGTAGGTGTTCATAGGAAACATCTCTATCATACCAAAACCTATTAGGAACATTATTTCCCAATGCAACAGTGGGAGTTAGATTGATCACATGTGTGACAGTATACAAAACTTCATCCCAAAAAGAGTTAGATAATTTAGCCTCTGAAAGCACGCATCTAACTCTCTCTATCAATGTTTTGTTCATCCTTTCTGCCAAACCATTCAATTGAGAAGTTTTAGGAGGTGTCTTCTGATGTCTAATACCATGTTCTTTGCAATATACATCAAAAGGCCTACGATACTCACCACCATTATTAGTGTGAATACATTTTAACTTCTTTCCAGTTTCTCTCTCAGCAGAAGTTTAAAATTCTTTAAATGTACCAAACACCTGATCTTTTGACTTTAAGGTACGAATCCAAAGTCTCTTTGAATGATCATCAATAAAGATCATAAAATAAAGTGCACCACCAAATGACTTATCTTTCAAAGGACCACAAACATCTGAATGCACCAGCTCAAGCAAATCATATTCCCTGAACGAAAAATAATGTTTGAAAGAAATCCTCTTTTGTTTCCCAGCCAAGCAATGAGTACACATGTCTAACCTTGCACCTTTTAATCTTGAAAGTAAATTCCTTTTAGTTAGGCAATTAAGTCTCTTCTCACTAATATGACTCAATCTCTTGTGCCATAATTCTGAAGAGCTATCACCTTCAACTGCATTAACGAGATCTGTAAAGATTAAAGCTTGCAACCAATATAAGCCCAAAGCCTTCTTTCCTTTACCCATAACTAAGGAACATTTGCTGAGCTTACATTGCCCATAATCGAAAGTGCTACAATAGCCATCATCATCAAGCTTACTAGTGGAGATCAAATGCAACCTAATGTTTGGAGCATGTCTAACATTCTTGAGCTCTAATTTTGTTCAATTTTGGATCTTTAAACAAATAGTTCCAATGCTTATTACCTTTGATACTCCATCATTACCCATCTTTAAAACCCCAAAATACTCGGAGTATAAGATGTGAAGAATTCTTTCCTTGATGTAACATGAAAGCATGCACTACTGTCAAGAACCCAAACAGTATTATCGTAGGCCACATTGATCATATTCTCTTAATAAACTATAACTAAATCATCATCTGAAGTGGTAGTGGTAACACGATCAGTATTGTTGTCATTTCCCTTCTTTTCTTGCTTCCCTTTATTTGCTTTATTCTCTTTCTTCCACTTGTAACAATATTTCTTGATATGTCCCGTCTTACCATAATAATGACATTCAAGGTTCTTATACCTTGATTTTGATTTACTACTGCTATTGCTTCTATTCTGATCTTGACCCTTACTTTTACTTTTCTTCCTATTTTCAGTAACTAAGATTTCTAACTGTGAACTAGATGTTCCCTGAGTTCTTCTTTTCATCTCTTCATTCAAAATGTCAGACCTTGCATACTGCATGGTTACAACATCATCAGGAGCAGAATTAGTCAAAGATACACGAAAATTTTTCCATAAGTCAAGAAGTGTAGTCAACAACCAAAGTCCAATAATATCTTCATCAAGTTTGACACCCATTCCAGACAGTTGATCAAAGATACCTTGAAATTCATTCACATGATCAAGTATAAAACTACATTCTCTATATTGTAACCATATAGCTTGTTTAAGCAAAAATAACTTATTGTTTCTAATCTTTGAAGAATATATGGTTTCAAACTTTTTTTACAAAAATTTTGGCATTTGTTTCATCAGCAGTATGATTCAACACATTATCTTTTACCAATTGTTGAATAAAAACCACATACTTGTAAATTCTCAAATTCTTAATTTTTATTAGATTTAGACTTAGGTTTTTAAGAAGCAAACACAGGTAAATACAACATTTTCACAACAAGAAGATCCCTCATTTTTCCTTTCCACTTATAATAATTTGTGTCATCCAAACAAACTATTTTACTCATATTCACCTCCATCATTCAAACAAGCAAAAGAAATTTCATAATCAACCAATAAATTAGTGAACCAAACTCTGATATCACTTGTAGGGAAGCACTTGAATGAATCTATGAAAAGTGAAAGCTAAGTAAAAGTTCAGCCAAAACAAATATGATGAAATATGCCCCAAGATACTAAAAAACAATCATATAAAGATACTAAAATTTTAAATGTAGAAAACCCCTTCAATGTGAAGAATAAAAACCATGGGACCTCTTCTGGTTCAAGTAAAAAAAGCTCCTCTATAAAAATTAGTGTTTACAGCAACAATAAGCAACCACTATAATTTTCAAATAAATAGTCAATAACAAATCAATCAAACAATAAGAGATAAACAAGAGAATGAAGAAGTATCACTACAGTAGCTACTTTTCATGCGAAACGGATGCATTTTGATTATTCAAATCCGATCTCCTCTGTTCAGATCAAAGAACAACCTATCTCGAACATTCTCGCCAACTTTCAGCCTCATCAGACTAGAAATGACCGTTTGATCGTCGGAGAAAGTCAAATTAGTCGGTATAGGGAAGAAAAATGTGAACAGTAACTTCCAATTGAAATACACGAAATTCAACCGTTCAAAATTAATTTCACCGTTCAGAATGAAGAATAATGAGTTTTATAAATACTTACTAAATTTCAGCCTGATCCGAATAAAGATTATCATCTGATCGTGGAAAGAAGCAAAACATGTTGGATGTAATTTTTCCAACAAAAAATTCTCTTTTTGTTTTCTACCTTTTGGTGGCTGAAAACTTATTTTTAAACTATTCTTTGGGGTTAAAGTGGTATAAAAAAAAAACTCTAATAATCCTAATGGGCTAAAAATAAATGGGCTAAAAAAGAATTTGGGTTTTTCCATGTAGGAGGGAACCCAAAACCCAATAGTATGTGCTACTGTCAGACATTCTACTTATATTGAAGGTCTGACAACTCTGCACTGCCTTCTTTAGCTCCCAGTAACAAGTGTGTTTCCCAGGTAAACAATGTAAATAGAGGTGGAGGGCAGATTAATTGTCACCTTCCTGGTCTGTGTCGGAGAAAATGGCAAGTATTGCTTGGCTGTTTACCTTTTGATCATTAGGCCTAAACAGTACCTTCTTTGTAGGATAAGAGTCTTTTTCGTGCTAAACTGCTGCTTAATAGGCCTGTGCATGAAAGTATCCAACAAAGGAATGTGGGATCAAGTGATGGTTAGATATTGCAAGGAGCCAATCAGACTGAAATTTTGAAGACTGGTCAGGTGCAAAAAACTCAGGTTTTTCGTTAGCAATTTGCAAAGCCTTGTGTATTAGTCATGTTTTAGCTGCTAAGAATGTCCTGAATGACTTTTCGTTGGCTTAGGAAATAGTTATTTTTTGGGTATGACATAATTGGCCAAGAAATATTGACATGCACCCAAGTGTTTGATGGAAAACATGTTGCAGAGAGCTAGTACAACAGAGTTCATGAATGTAGAACAGCTGCGGATTAGTTGTAGATCATCAACATAGACAAGGAAATACACCACAACATTGCCCAAGTGATAGATGAATATTGCTGGATCTACATGGGAATTGTGGAAAGATGAGATATGAAAAAGTCGGCTACTCTGTGGTACCATATTCTAATGATAAATTTGATTCATATTCCAATTGCTATGAAATGGGAATAGAAATGCAGTACAAATAGAACAGAAGTTTGAATGAAAACTAACTCTGTATGGAGGCTGGATTTTATTATAATATATGTTAGTTTGATTACATTAAATATCAGCAAGTATAGTTCTTTCCATGTAATGTAGCATTTTATCCTTGCAGACATTATATATGCATCTTTATTCTCAAGAACATTATCTCGCCTGTGTGAGATTTAGGTTATTGGAGCTAGGATTTTAGTACGAGAGAAATACATTATGATCATTAGATTTCTTCTATAGTGAATTTAAATCAATTATCTGATAAAGTAGATTACATGTAAATTTTTTGAACTGTCGTTTTTAGAAGTAGATGATTAGTTTAAACCAAAGTGAATGATTGAGTATGTGATGTACAGATATGTTGACTTGACCAGGAAATGTATTTTAATCAAGGGCAACGTATCTATGGACACATTTGGTTAGTTCCATATCTCCTCTAGTACCCCACACAACATTTGGCTGAAGTACATAGTAACTCTTACTCATTTTTTTAAATAACACAAATGTATTAGCCAGAATTCAAGCTCTTTAAGATTTGGTTTTGATACCAAATGAAACAGGTAATTTAGCAATTAACCACCTCAAAACCTTAAGAAAAAATGATCAAATTTGTTATTTATATTTTAGTGTATGCATTCTGGGTGATTATAGTTTGTACTATGACTTTTAAAAGTGTTGTTGAAATGATTTTTTTATTAAAATTACTTTTAGTAAAAAATTATTTGGTGTTTGGTATAAATAACTGTGAAATGTGCTGTCACTTTAAAAAAAACAGAAATTGTATTGGGTGAAAATAACTTTTAGAACTTAAAATATAAATTTTTAATAAAGTTAAAGTCATTTTTAAAAACTATGCATTGTAACTTTGTATTTAAACATGTAAAAGAAAATTTAGCTCTGAATTTTGTCAAAGCACTTTAAATTGTTTCTTTAGTTGCAAAAGTGCTTTTGAAACGCAAAAGCCGAAGCCAAAACTCAGTCAAAAGCAACCTGAAGAGAGATATATGGTTTTGGTATGTGAATTGAATTATTAAAAAAGTTTTAACAAAGTCTGTATTAATTTTCTATTGAGCAGGTATTTGGTTGGAATTTCAGCTGCTGCTACAGGTTACTCCTTGCTGCAATCACTTATTTGCGGGTCAAGGCTAATGAGAATGTCTCCAGTTATTCCTTCACGAAGTCAAGCATGGTTCAATTTTGCTGCAGATCAGGTAATGTTAATTGAAGATCTTTGTATGAAGTAACTTTTTTAACTTGCATCTTTTTGCGTGACTTTAGTTATTGAGAGTGGTTTAGGATCTTGTGAAAATAAAAACATTTCTGTTATCTTTCATATCAAAATGTCATAAAAAGATGCACCTTGAAAAAACAGAATAGTTTATGAAGCCTATTTGAGATGCTAAGGATATGAATTCTTAAGTAAAGCTCATTATATTCCCTGGACAGATGCATCCATTTCGTATAATAACTTGTTTGTCATCCATTTCATGTATTTGAAGCTTGTTAAGGAATGCATATTCATCTTATCCTTTCTGTTAACCGAATGCCTTGTATTCATGTATCTGATTGATACCAAATCTGCAGATCTTTGCATGTGCGATGATAAGTGCCGGATCAGCTGCATCTGGAGTTACAAACCTGAATCGGACGGGAATCAGACATACTGCTCTACCAAATTTCTGCAAGGCTTTGGATAACTTCTGTGACCATGTTGCTATCTCAATAGCATTCACTTTCATCAGCTGTGTCTTCCTCATGACATCTGCTATCCAGGACGTAATATGGCTTTCCAAGTATTAGATTTCCTGTTCCTGGTATATTGTATCTTCTATGTGCATCTTTTAGTAGGGTTTTTCTGGAAAGGAGGCAAGGATCAACTTAGTCTCTAACACTGTTTTTTGGTTTTAATTGGAGACTTTGTTGTTAAGGGCACTTAGTGCTATAACAAAGGGAAAGCGCTTTTTGTCTTGAGGATTCTAAAGGAGTTTTCTAACATTTAATAATTAATATTGTCTATAATGTACATATTATACAACATTACAAAATTATTTAAGAAGTGTTTGATAATTCTATAAAGTCTCATAAGAAGAGAAGCAAAAAAGTCATGAACATAATTTAAAGTGAAAGACAATTCCATACATTCTCCTAATAAGCAAAATTATGTTATGTTGTTTTAATTTAATTTTTTTTATCACTTCTAATATATAATATTTTATTTACGTATTATTGTTTCTATTATAGAAATTGATTAATATTATTTTTCAAATTTAATTATTAAGTTTTTTTTTTTTTTTTTTGTTTCATGTATGAATCTGTTGCTTCCGATTTCGTTTATATT